ACACACACACACACACACACACACACACACACACACACACACACACACACACACACACACGCAGACCAACAAACAAACATACTCACGAAAAACTTCTCTTCTTTACAAAAGTAGTATTAAAATGACACCACTTGTAAATATGAAGTGTGTTAAAAAAAAGATCAATTAAACAAAATCAATGGCCAACATTTCTTATCATTGACAATAACATTGATTAAAAAACAATATAACAAATGGAAATATGTAAATAGTGATGTGTCCCTTTAGGAGCTAAACATGAGCACTGACACATATGTCACTATTTGCATTTACTTTCCCTCAGTGGTGTTGCACAAAGAGGGAGTTCGACTAACACCCAGGTTCACTCCACATGTGGATCGATATAATTTGATAAAATACTAATTTGCTGGGCACTTTTAGTGCTGATTTTAATATCAGCTCAGACGGGTTCATCATTTTAAGACCTGAAATATTTTCTGAGCTCATGTTGTTTTTATAGCAAAGTAATTTTATTGATCGATTTATTGATTGATCGCTTGGAAAATAAAATATCAAAAACCAGTGAGAAATTCATCATTATTCTCTGTAGAGTCCAAGTTAACAGTCTCAAACTGCTTCTGATATCAATAACCAGTCAAAACCGTTTAGCAAAAAGAACTAGAAAATATTCACACATAAGTGATTCTTTTATATTTTAAGCCAATTCATTAATCAATAGTTTTAAAATAAAGAAGCTCACTTAAAAGTTAGACCTTTGTGCAAAACTGGAGCCTCTAAGTGTATGGAAACAGAGGAATTAGCGTCCAGAAATGTTTAAAATTGTATTCAAGGGCATTTTGGTCAAACACAATCCACCTTCAAGACTCCCGCTCAGAACACGCATGTTTTCTTCTGCATAACTCTGGTAAAACCTGTTCCTGTTCATAAATCTAAAAATGTACAAAAAAACTCTATATTCATTATTTTTTATATAGCCACACTGCAGCTAATGGGAACTCCCCCTACCCCCAACTCCTCTGTAATTCTACATGTTGACAACATGCATGGAAAATAACTGACTCAGCTGTGCTGCTATTAAAAGACCTCAAATCCCAAAGTATTGCTGTGGCGGGCCGGCCGGCTGTCATGTCGGAGGCACTCTGTGACTGAGCTGCTGAGTAGAGCTGCTCCAGCTCCGCAGGAGAGGAATCAAACGACACCTGCAGAGGCCTGAGACGCAGTAAGTGCTGGCTGGCTTTCATTTCTTGTAATATCCAGGTCAGATGGCTCTGTTACCTTAAAATGAACTGCTCTTATGTGCCAAGGATTTTTCTGAGAGTGAAGCTATGTTTTCATATTTAATTTTGTTCTAGAAAAGCTGCTGCATGAAATGAAAAGCGCTGTTGTTTTTCTTTGTGGTTGATGATCTTGTTGTAAAATAACCGAGTAGTACCCTGTGACACTGAACCTTTGTGAGAGATACAGTATCTATTTCTAGGGCACTTTATATTTAGAAGCCTCTTCTCGGACAAACAGCTGGTGCTCAGCACGGTAAACCTAAACCAAAAGTTTATCTTCACGTCCCCTGTCGGACGCAAATAGAATGTTGGTTTTAATAATCTGAGGACAAAAACTGCACCGTCAAGTAACAAATAGTGATTTAAGGAAAGTTTGATGAGGGGGAAAAGGAAATGGGCCCCTGGACACAGACGTAAAAAGGCCCCTAACCAGCTCTGCACAGGAGCAACAAAACAGGAAGATATTCCAAACAACTAAACAATTTGGTTGCATTTAGTGTTTCTCTTTGTAACTGTGGTTGTGCTTTTTAACCTTTTTTGTTATTTTGCATCTCTGTTTTTACGTTTCTTAGTTGATGTTGTGCACATTTTTAGAGTTGTTTTGCATCTTATGTTGTTTATTTTTTGCTTTGTTTTGCATCCCTCTGTTGATGTTTTGCATCTTCTTGTAGTTGTGGTGTAGTCATTTTGTCAATGTCACTGTTGTTTCACATCTCTTTCTTGGTCTTTTTTTGTCTCTTTGGTCGTTTTCACATCTATCGTAGTAATTGTACTATGCACAATTCATGTTGTGTACTTTTGTCATTGTTTTGTTGACTGGTTGTGTCTCTGCAGAATATGTAGTTGAGTATATATGAGGTATGATCAAATTATAATTCATTAAACTGAAATTTAATAATAATCTGCCTTAATTTAATAATCTGCTACTTCATACGCACAATGTTTGTATTCTGATTTTCTGGACATGAGGACATGGATTTTTTTTATTTTATTTTAACATGAGTTTTGAAAAACGACTCAAACTAGCCTGAGAGAGAACTGTTTGATCTCCCCTGATACAACCAATCGAATCTTAGTATCATTTTATGAATTGTACATTGGATTAACCTCGTGAAGCACTGACTGTATACTTTATGTACGACACTGTGTATTTTATATGTATCCGGATACCCAAGTTCACTGTATGTTATATAGAGATTTTAACAATGTGGTTTTCATCCTACTTTTCATGTATATGAAACAATATATATTCTCTGTTTTTGTTTCAGAGTTATACAGTAAATCTAGATTTAAATATGGTTGTAAAGAGGGAGATGGAATCCAATGAAACAGAGCCAGAGAGCCTCTGGGTATGAAAAGT